TTCATACACACAAAGTTTGTGACTGCAAACATACATGTATTCGTGATTATTGAGCATGTTTTCCTTCTCTAAGCTGGGTGGGAGAGGAGTTTTCACCTTCCTGAGAAAGAAAAGTTGTGTCTGCTCCTCCTTCTGCTGTGCTGCGGCTGTTGTGATTGTTAACAAGCTTTACTTAGAGGAGGGCCTGTATTACATGTTCAGAGTGCGAGAGCGCTGTAGAAGTTTGGACTGTATTGCGTGATCGGAGCGCGAGAGCGCAGTAGGAGTTTGGACTGTGAAGCGTGATCAGAGTGCGAGAGCGCAGTAGGAGTTTGGACTGTATTGCGTGATCGGAGCGTGAGAGCGCAGTAGGAGTTTGGACTGTATTGCGTGATTGAAGTGCGAGAGCGCAGTAGGAGTTTGGACTGTGAAGCGTGATCAGAGTGCGAGAGCGCAGTAGGAGTTTGGACTGTATTGCGTGATCGGAGAGAGAGAGCGCAGTAGGAGTTTGGACTGTATTGCGTGATCGGAGCGTGAGAGCGCAGTAGGAGTTTGGACTGTATTGCGTGATCGGAGAGAGAGAGCGCAGTAGGAGTTTGGACTGTGAAGCGTGTTCAGAGTGCGAGAGCACAGTAGGAGTTTGGACTCTGAAGCCTGATCGGAGAGCGAGAGCGCTGTAGGAGTTTGGACAGTATTGCGTGATCGGAGCGCGAGAGCACAGTAGGAGTTTGGACTGTGAAGCGTGATCGGAGAGCGAGAGCGCAGTAGGAGTTTGGACTGTATTGAGTGATCAAACAGTATTGCGTGATTGGAGCGCAGTAGGAATTTGAACAGTATAATGTGATCGAAGCGCAAGAGCGCAGTAGGAGTTTGGACTGTGTCACGTGATCGAAGCGCAAGAGCGCAGTAGGAGTTTGGACTGTGTCACGTGATTGAATGATGTAGAAAAATAAAAATCTGCAAAAATGGAGATACGTTTTTCTTTGGACAGCGATGCATTTCATCTTAAAGCCGACTTGCTCAGTTTTCTGACATTCACCAGTGTTTTCTTACTTGGGATTTATTCTTAGGTGAGGACAGAATCCACACACTCAAGATCACAAATGTGTGCACAGTTCTGCAGTTTGAGATCACATTATGAATCTGACGTAGACTTTTCTTAGGAACTTTCTCAAGAACTAACTTAAGAAAAACTAGGAAGATATTGGTGAATGAGGCCAAATGTGTTTTATAACCATACTTTTAAAAAGCTTTCAGTGCTTCGCATCAATGAAACTGTGTCCTTGTTTGGGTTGTATATCATTATGTTGTGTTGGTGTCGTTACAGGTCATGCCTCTGACTTTGGATCTTTTATTTTAGACCAAAAGGATCCAAAAACAGAAGAACAGAGTCTAACAAACTTCATTTCTACTGCTGAAAGATGCTGAAGGCACCAAGAAGTTCCAGTTTTTGAACAGAGCTTAAGTAGTTTTTAAACTGATCATTTTGTACCGGTACTTCTACTGTAAAGGTCCTTGTACTTGAGTCATAATTTGATCAGACTAAGTGGAGTCTAATACTGGAGTACAGATTTAGGCTACACGGCTCTGATGATGAACCTGTGAATATCTGTTGGATCGTCTGTGTTAGCTGTGCATGAGTGACGCACGTGTTAAACAGGTCAGACCTGCTCTGGTAGGCCGACTTCAGATCGTCGTGTTTTGTACCAATGACGACAGTACAAACCAAATGTAGGTCAGCATCATTCCAGATACAAGAACATACGTAAAGAAATAATTGTTCAATTAGAGGAGTGTACATAAAGTACTGTGCACAATTCAGGACCCACCCCCTTCATTTATTTAAATCATCAGAATGACCACTGAGCACAAGTTCAGAGACTGACACGGAAGAATCAGCAACTGTCAGATTTTCAGTGTTTAGTGTGTCACTCTTTACCTTCATAACAGCTTCCACTCTTTTCAGGAGACTCACTTTCAGTTTCTCAGAGAAATCTGCAGACACACCTCCAAAGTTCAGTCTCAGAAGTTGGTTACATTTTCTGCTTCTCACCATTCAAATAATCCCAAACACACTCAGTGCTGTTGAGGTCTGGACTCTGGGGTGGTCAGTCCATCGTTCTGAGAAACACCAGCAGCTACTCTGTTTGATGTGTCTCCTTTTAAACAGCTACACATCCTTTCAGACTCATAGTGCTGAGTGTCTCACAGTGGAAGGATGGACAGAAACTCCTGTGGATGTTTTCAGATCTGAATCCAGAGTGGAGCTTGATTTTCTCCTCTCTCTCAGAGATGAAAGCTTTAAGTGCTGTTTATCTGATGGGGACAGTTTTGGTGTCTGTCAGGTGCTGTAGGTGGTTGTTTCTCTGTAGCTTTTAATCAGTTTAGATTAACTGATGATTTTTAATTTAGACTTCCTCCTTTTGTATGTATGCATATTATTTTATGTGTAATCTCAGAAATATCTTGTGAAAAACATGTACTGAATAGCTGTTTGGACTGGATCAACTGGATTTAACTTGATAAACACTTTAAATGAACCATATATATATATTTGTATATCCCTCTTGTCAGAACAAAACCTTTACTTGAAATGCCAGTTACGCTTTACATTGTGTGTGATTTATACATACTATAGTAAATAAAAGTAGTTAATAAAGTAAACAAATAGTAAATAGATTTAATATAAGATTAGTTTACACATTTGCTTGAGATGAGTCACTGATCAGCTTTTCTCTCTCTCTCTCTGTCTCTCTTTTTTTTATTTGGTCATCCTGCCATCTGGTGCATGTGATGTCATGCCTGGAGTCGAGCAGAGAGGGAGAGGGAGAGAGAGAGAGAGAGAGAGAGATAGAGAGCGAGAGAGAGAGAGTGAGACTATAGGGCAGATGTCCAAGTTGAATGCAGGAGCATGTGTCACTATGTGCAACATGCTTTCAGCCTGAACATATGTGCACAGCTGCCCTTAAGACTTTCTTTCGGGTTTATCAAAAATACTGGATCCATGGATATAGGAAACACTGCGTTTACAAGGGGAATTCCACCAAAATAAAAATTTTCTGCTGTATTCAGTGGTTGAGATGTAAACAAGGTCATTCAGAGTGGTTTGGTGTGAAATAGTTCACTGTAGAGAAACTTAGTGACTCAGATTTCTGTACAGAGGTGGTGACAGGAACCAGGGGTCACAATGACTACAACACACATATAGCCATTTTAATAACTATACAAAACAACCAGTGAACCCACACGAGTCTCCTGAGTGTTTATATGGGATGATGATGATTATAAATTAAGAATAAATCCAAACATATGATCCTATTTTACACAAAACAGTAACACAAAAATGTATTTAAAAAAATACATTTTAGGCCAAAACTTTCTGTAAAGTATTATAAATCAGTGTCTCAGACATGGCTGTGAATTCATAACCATTACCTGTAATAACTTTCAGTGAGGGAGCTTTTAGAGGTGGACGTCTGGTTCCCATCACCACCACTGTGAACATTCTGACTCTATGTCTCTCTAGAACAGAGCGTTTCACACCAAACCACTCTGAATGACTCTGTTTACATCTGAACTGTTCCTGTTTAAGTTTCTAAGACTTTATCGGTAAAGGATCTACAGAAGAAACAGTACTTTGTCTGTGAGAGTCAGGGTACTGTGTGAAAATCTTAACTAAAAGAGGCGGAACCTGTTTTGGTGCTCTATAGGAACGTTTTTTAAACCATACACTCCTAAAAAAGATGGTCCTTTAAGGGTTCTTTAGTAAAGACAGTGGTTCCATATTCACTATGTGGCCAAAAGTTTGTGGACACCTGCTCATACAATGTTTCCTTTAAAATCAAGAGTATTAAAAAAGGTTTTCTCTTCCTTTGCTGCAGTAACAGCCTTTACTCTTCTGAAAAAGCTTTACACTAGACGCTGCAACATTGCTGTGAAGATTTGATTGCATTCAGCCACAAGAGCATTAGTGAGGTCAGGTACTGTTGTTGGATGGTCAGTTCTGGATCACTACAACTCATCCCAAAGGTACTAGATGGAGCTCCAGCACTCCAGAGAACTTGGTTCCACTGCTACACAGCCCAATGCTGGGGGTCTTTATACCCCTCTAGCCCACGCTTGGCATTAGGCATAATGACTTTAGGCTCATGTACAGCTGCTCCAGAGCGTCTCACTCTATTGGTCAGTGCTTTTCTATGGAGTTTATACAGGCTGTGTGTGTATTTGAGCTCTTGTGTCAGCAGTGAGTGACCTTAATGCAGTTGAATTCACTAATAAGGAAATAAATAAAATAATAAATAATAATAATAAAAAAAAATAATTTATAAAATTATAAATAAATTATAAATAATACAACTTTTGGACACATAGTGTAGAACCATGAACTCAAAGAACCATTTCATGTCTAAATGGTTCTTTGCGTGGTGAAATGGTTCTTCAGACTGATTGAGAATGTGTTATATATGGTTCTTTATAGCAATTGTAATTGTAAGCTTGACATTGAGAGACAGACAGAGAGATAACACAGAGATAGAGAGAGAGAGAGAGAGAGAGAGAGAGAGAGAGGAGATTGAGTGTGTGTGCGAGAGAGAGAGATTGAGTGTGTGTGCGAGAGAGAGAGAGAGAGAGAGAGAGAACAGGAAAGGAGAAAGACAACAGATGGGGAGATAAAACAAAGGGAAGGAGAGAGAGAACAGAGAAAGAAAGAAAGAAAGAAAGAAAGAAAAAGACAAGAGAGGGGGACAGAGAGAAAGAGTGAGAAAACAGAGAAAATGAGAGATACTGAGAGCAAGAGAAAAAGGAGAAAAAAGAGAGCAATCAGAAAGTAAATAAGAAACAGAAAATAAGAAAGAAAGGAGAAAAGTAGAGCGATACAGAGATAAAAGGGAAAAGAGAGAGAACGAAAAGAGAGAGGTGAAAATGAGAGGTAATGACAGAAAAAAGAAAGAGAAAGAGAGCGGAGAGAAAACAGAGAGAGAGAGAGAGAGAGAGAGAGAGAGTAAAGAAAAAAGGAGAGACAGCGAGAAAGAGAGCGGAGAGAGAGAGACAGACAGACAGACAGAGTGAGAGAGAGAGAGAAAGAGAAAGAACGAGTCAGACTGAAAAACATCTCCGCACAGGAGCGCGAGACGAACATGACAGCGCGTGCCTGTGTGCGCGTGTGAGCGTGGTTGAGCGTGAATCATGAGCGGTGAGTAATGTCTCCTCTCTGACGTCACTCCTCCGGACTGAGGGAGCGGAGTGAGTGAATCCGCTCGAGACTCCGCAGATCAGCGGAGCAGCGCGAGCAGCCGGACTCACTCCGGACCGGCCGGAGCGGACCGAACCGCTTTAAATGACCCTTTCAGAGCGCGCGCCGAGGCTACATGTGGTGAGTCAGAGTCTCTGCGCGGCTTTTTACCTGCCTCTCTAACTCTGTTCAGACCTGCGTTGGAGGAAGAGTCAGGGAAGACACCGTATTAATGCAGGTATTACTGCGTCCTGCTGGAACTGTCCGGTCCACCTTAAATGCTGCGGCGGTTACAATGTAATTACTGCACCGTTTAAGGTGGAACGGAAAGTTCCTAAAAGAAGCTTCGTCGTAGTTGATAATAGCGGTGAATATGAGAAACAGCTTGTTGACGAACACACAGAACCTCGGTAAGGTTTTGTTTTTCGATTAGTAGAAAGTTTTCCTTTCTTAAAGACGCTGTTTATCAGTCTGTCAGCTGTATCGACTCCCTGTTTATCAGTCTATCAGCTGTATCGACTCCCTGTTTATCAGCAGTGCAATCCTCTGCTGGCAGCCTTTAAAACTGCAACACAAAGCCATTGATAACTCTCAGAGCTTTGATAGTTTAATATTTTAAATAGTTTTAATAGTTTAATAATAGTAGTTTAGTAGTTTTAACAATGTAGCCCATGTATTTCGGACATTTTCATCGTTTTCCCTGCCATAAATCACCGGATTCTCCTCAGAAATGAAAAAAAAAATCCAAAAAAGCATGAAAAAAAGCTCAAAATTGTGCAGTGACTGTAGGGAAAAACTGTTTTGGTGCTTTTACTTAAGCCAAAACACTTAAATCCAAACGCTAATAAAGATGGAAAGAGGCCTGTCAGCAACATCATCCAGACTTTCGTTTTCCTGTAAACTGTAAAATGTTGAGTTTCACTTTGTCCTACTGACAGTGCAGGCCTGCTCACTTCCGGTAGCCAAATTTAGCATCAAGTTCAAATGTTTTTGTTTTAGTTTTGTTTTAAGTCGGTTTACAAAAGAATATAGCTAATGAAAAGGGACAAAAGAGTGAAATAAGGACAGCCATGCATTCCACAAATACACTAGAAGACAAGAAACAGTGGTTTTTAAGATTTTCTTGGCATTTATATATCATATATTATAAAAGAGGATACATCTGAGGTAAAATTTATGTATAATGAACAGCCACAACATTATGACCACCTCCTTGTTTCTACACTCATTGTCCATTTTATCAGCTCCACTTACTATACAGGTGCACTTTGTAGTTCTACAGTTACAGACTGTAGTCCATCTGTTTCTCTGCATACTTTGTTAGCCCCCTTTTACCCTGTTCTTCAGTGGTCAGGACCCCCATGGATGCAGGTATCATTTGGGTGGTGGGTCGTTCTCAGCACTGTTGCTGCTGGAGTTACAGTTACACATAGTGCAAGTATGTGATAAGTGGAGCTGATTAAATGGACAGTGAGTGTAGAAACAAGGAGATCGGTGCGTATTTACAGATTAAATTCATAATGTGCGAAGTACTCAATACCAGATCTTTAAATGAGAGGCAGCACATTACTTTAAACTAAAATTACGATTTGATTTTTTTACAAAGAAGATTGAAAAGTCAAACCAAACAGTAAAAACAGACGAATTTAGCATAGATACTGTGGATTTTCCTCACTGACAGGGTTTTAATGTATCATATATCATTTAACACAAGTTATAACAGTTGGTTATCATGTATTGGCTGAGAATTAAAGCTGCTAAGCTGTTTAAGACCCATTAATGTCCATGTCTTAGATGTAAAATTTCCTTTGGTTCCTATGTTCTCTGAGCTCTGAGCACAAAATCTGAGTTTTTATCACTAAATTCAATGTTTTGGTCACATGGCGCTACTGACTGGCACTAAAACTGTAGAAAACCCAAAGTTTGACTGTTAATAAAAGTGTGAAATGGTATGTATATCAAAAATTCCAGTGACAATACTGTTAGATGTCCATCCAAGCTACAGCTACACCAAATTACATCACTTTACACCAATCAGGACGAATTATGAGGCAGTTATCGTGCTAAATTTATCTGTTGGACATGAATTGGTGAAGATGTCGGTGATGTGCTGCTCTTCACGTCGAATGTTAGTCAAAACAGCTGTGTGACTAACGTTGAGCTAGTTAATCACCTGAAACATCATGACTCCGTCTTTCCTCACAAGCAGAGTCTAAATACATTCACAAGCAGTGAAACAGTGACTCATGTAGAGGTGAAAGTAGCCTAGAAAAAAGAACTGAATACATATGAGCTTAAGTACTGAGTTATAGAACTGCAGTGCATCTATCAATACAGGACATTAAGGACTCTTTTCTCCTCTTTTTGAATCCTTTTAGTCTGAAATAAACTGCTGAATTTCGAAAGTGAGGGGTGACCAATAACAAGGCAGCGTAGGTGCTGTTATCAGCGTAACTGGATGAAGTTACACCCGAAAAATGTCAGTGACTAACATGGGACTAAGTAGAAAGTAGACCTCATTCCTCACAAATGTACTGGAGTATATTTAAGTGGATGTATAATTTGAAGATATTTATTGTTCAGTAATTGAAATACGTGAAGAAGTACTCAGTTTTATAGAGTCTGGGTAGAGAAGCGCTGCTCTAGGATCCGCTTTGCAATCCACATAAAGGTAACTGACCCTATGACGGTGAGATCTCAGATCAGCTCACTCTCTGAGTGATCCTTCTTGTTCATCGAGCACTCCTACAGTTCCTGTGGGCAGAAGCGCTACAAAGGAAGACGCCTTACCTTTACGCCTCTATCATGAGTCACTACAGACGCAGAGAAAGTACTCACTTCCTTCAGACTGAGGGCGCCTGAGCTGTGAAGTCATGAGCACTTTAGTTTATCGGTTAATAATGAATTATTACTGAAGTTATTCTGATATTTCTGTAGTTAATCCCTTAAACTCTATGGGTCTGTTTGTGGGTCCACGCTAACGTTCCCCACTCCGGACTACAGGATTCACACATTAGATTCACAGTAGTTACTAATAATTTACAGTCGATATTGAACAGTTTATTGTAAATACTGTATGATTTATAGCAGTTACTGAATAATTTATAGTACATACTGAATCATTTATAGTAGGTACTGAATCATTTATAGCACATACTGAATCATTTATAGTACATACTGAATCATTTATAGTAGGTACTGAATCATTTATAGTACATACTGAATCATTTATAGTAGGTACTGAATCATTTATAGCAGTTACTGAATCATTTATAGTACATACTGAATCATTTATAGTAGGTACTGAATCATTTATAGTACATACTGAATCATTTATAGTAGGCACTGAATAATTTATAGCAGTTACTGAATAATTTATAGTAGGTACTGAATAATTTATAGCAGTTACTGTATACTTTATAGTACATACTGAATCCTTTATAGTAGGTACTGAATAATTTATAGCAGTTACTGTATACTTTATAGTACATACTGAATAATTTACAGTACATACTGAATCATTTATAGTAGGTATTGAATAATTTATAGCAGTTACTGAATACTTTATAGTACATACTGAATCCTTTATAGTAGGTACTGAATAATTTATAGTACATACTGAATCATCTATAGTAGGTACTGAATAATTTATAGCAGTTACTGAATAATTTATAGTAGTAGCTGAATAATTCACGTTATTGAATTCATAGTTAGTTACTGAATAATTTACGGTAGTTTCTTAATAATTTGTAGTAGACGCTGAATAATTCACAGTATTTACTGAATAGTTTCTCATACTTACCGAATAATTTATAGCCGATGCTGTGTAATTTATGGTAGTTGCTGAATATATTAAGAGTACATACTGACTTATATAAGGCAGTTAGTGAATAATTTAGTTGCTGAATAATAACCCGTAAGATTAAAAACTGAATAATAAGCCCAGAGTTAAAGCAGTTCTTTCTATCTATCAGTCTGTGATCAGTGTAGGCATTTTAGAACCTCTTTAGAACTCTTCTACTGTCAGTTCTAGAATGCGTAAACCTGTACAATGTCAGTGAGGTCAGGGTTCTAGACTTCTGGCTGTGCTGAAGATTCCAGGTTGGCTGTATTTCAGTTTTTACTGGTGTAGTTAGTTCTTTGCGCTGAAGCTGCAGGTTCTCACATGACGGTTTGTCACTCATCTCAGAGTGTCAGCTCAGCCTACAGGGTGTGAGAACCGCTTTCGTTCTGAACAGTGCAGACAGCTGGGCAGAAAGCGGCTGACTTCCTGGAAGCACTGCTTTATAGGAACTGTAGAGATTACAGGAAAAAGAGACTGATGGCAGTACAGTGTGTCATCAGCGAATGAGCTGCCTTGTGGAGCAGTGATGTTCTCCTAGTGAGAGAGCAGAGATATGAGAGGTGACTTTCAAACTGAAGGCCTTTAGTCTGTTCTCACTTTCTGCTGTTATCGTTTGCGATCCGGAGTCGACCAGAGGAGGATGGGTTCCCCTTTTGAGTCTTGGTTCCTCTCAAGGTTTCTTCCTCTTGCTCTTACGGGATATGATGACCACTGTTTTATTCTAGACCACTGCCTTGCTCTAGAACACCGCTTCATTTTTAAACATTGCTTCATTCTGTTAAACCACTTCATTTTACAACACTGCTTTTTCTGTAGCACTGCTGTATTCTAGAACACTAATTCATTCTAGACACCACGTCATTCTACAACAAAACATTCTATAACACTGCTGTATTTTAGAATACTGCTTAATTCTAGAATATTGCTTCATTCTACAACATAGCTTTTTTTCTGGAGCACTGCTTCATTCTAGAACACAGCTTTTTCTGGAGCACTGCTTCATTCTGGAGCACTGCTTCATTCTAGAACACAGCTTTTTCTGGAGCACTGCTTCATTCTGGAGCACTGCTTCATTCTAGAACACAGCTTTTTTTTTTGGAGCACTGCTTCATTCTAGAACACCAGTCCATTGTGCTAATTGTTAAATCCACTGCATTCTCCTGTTTCAGATATCTGCTCCATGTCGTGTACGGTGGGCCTGAAGAGAAAGCTGCAGTCGGAGGACGAGGATGAAAAGGAACCCAAAGTGGCGGCCATACTGGCGGACCCTCACCCAGCCTACTCCCTCCAGAGGGAGACCGTGCTGCAGCTGTCCCTGCAGAAGCTCTGCAGTCACGTAGAGACGGCTCTGGTGCGCCGCGTCCTCATCACCAACACGCTGAGGTCCATCCAGCAGGAGCTCAGTGAGCAGGGGGCGCTGATCATGACCCAAACACAGAGCGGAGATACGGGGGTCAGTTGGGGTCACGGGGTTGGCACTGAGGGCAGTCTGACCCCGGCGTGGGTTCTGGAGCAAGACGGGGAACTGTTGTTTTCTCTACACTCGTCCATTCAAGCACATTCGGCCTCGTCCATCAACAGATCTTCTACAAAGGACAGTTTCTCCACAGCTTTGGCTGAAATCGAGGATTTGTGTCCCACTCTAACAGTGGCAGCCAACTCTACCTCTTTTTCTACGTCTTCGTCCATCGCTCAGCCGGACCTTCAGTGCTCTTCTAACAAAAACAGTAGACTCAGCGTTCCAGCTGTTGAAATATCAGAAAAAGAGGCTCAAATTCATACTGGCTTAATTGGGCCTTGTGACTCCGCCCACTTATCCAGTTCCATTTTTCTCCCTGAACTTTCACTGGACGATTTCCTCTTCTCAGACATCGACAACTTCCTGTGCGAGCTGAACCCTTGCGGCCCGAACCCGGGCCTGGCCCAGGGCTCATCCTCGTCTAAGGTAGTTTCCATGGTAACAGACGACCTCATGAGGAACCTCACCAACCAGCCTTTCAAAACAGACCTGAACGAGCTGGACCACATCATGGAGGTTCTGGTCGGCTCATGAGGGACATGCGCCAAGCCCACAGTAAAGCGACAGTTTGGCGAAAAATCGATCAGCCAGGACGAGTTTCCTTCTGTAGCTTTGCACTGGAGCTACTAGGCTAACATAGCTAACAAGCAACGGAAGCTCACCAATGAGTATTGTGCCAACATGCCTTGAACCAAGTTGTGAAGTTGTTCCGTAATTGCAAAAATAGACTTGTTCAGAAGTTTCTGACACTGTATGACATCCTGTTATCTGTTCATAGTATTTGATTAAGAAGACCACGACGCCATGTTGGCAGGCAAGCTGTAACTCTGACTGTGCTCTGATAGAGCTTGTCTCAACACTGTTACTGCAGCTACAACCCTGCAGGTGGATAAAAACCAAGCAAAATAGACCAGAATGACCACAAAAAAGATTTAAAAAGATATGTAGACGCTTTAGATGCGTCTCCAGAAAACGCTATCAGGCTAGGATTAACGAGACTGGTGAACTGGATCCAGTCCAAGTCGGCTTCTTATTCGCCAGTTTCTCATTTGAAATTTCCTTTCCACCTTAAATGGTGCTGCAGTTACACAAAGGTTCCTTAAGCGTACAACGAATGTTGGAACTTACCTGAATAAGTGCCTCGGTTTAGCCCAAAACACGTGCCTTAATCAATAAATACCTTAAACCTTCGCTTGTGGATGTTTACTGTGCAGCTAACGATCAGCCGTTGGACCTGTTGAACGCTTCTCACTGGCTGATCTAATGCCGCGTCCCAAACCACACACTTCTGTATTTCAGCTGCTACTCTAATGAGTGCACTATTTACCAGCGCACATACTATTAAGTGTGCTAGTATGCGGTTTGGGACGCCAAAATAATAATGCGGTGGGAAATTTCAGCTGTTCAGATGTTAGCTTTTATTTTTTGTCACTACAGCAGCAAATCAAATGAAATCAAGTCATTGCACTCAAATACACTGGTTACATTACACTGGCTTTAAAAATGAGATTTAAAAAGTGTTTACAGCCTTTGTTGGATCTGTTACAGCTTTGTTATCTCATTACAAACCACCACAGCACTGCTGAATGAGCTTGATGTTGTCATCGGAATACTATCAATAGACATGTACAAAACCATATTAGCACAGCCAGAAACAGAACATGTTGTAACTCCGTGCTCACAGATAACAGTATACAGTGTCAGAAACCACATAACTGTGTCTATTTAAGATTACTTAACATCTTGGCTGATTAACACTTTTGATATAAGAGGAACATTCTGCAAATGTGCTTTGCTTGTCAAACTATTGCTTTAAGTTAAACAACCTTACATTGTGAAAAGTTTTAAAAATGGGTTCAAAGCCCATTTTGTGAGTTTTGCAGTGTCCAAAGATGTCATGCCAGGGAAACAAACATATTTATTCACATGTGCACAAATTTATGTTACACCTGGCAGCGTTTTGTTAAGGCAGGGATGTAATATATTAGATATTCCTCATCTGAATAAATTATGCTTTATTTTTATTTAACGGTTTTCCTATTTCACAGATATGAAGGGCTCTTATTTTGATACTAAAATGTGTTTTTGAAATAAAAAAATGTTAAAAACAGTGGCTGTGGCTAGTTGGGACTTTTCTTTGGCGTGAAACGAAATGGAATCTTCCACATTATCAGACTGTGAAGAGGTTACTGGGTAATAATACTGCATTGGTAAAATGACGGCGTCTGATTTTTCGAGGTGGTGATCAGGTTGGCTTAGTCAACTCACATGAATCGGTATGAAGATGGGTTGTGTGTGGAAATACAGAGATCAAGAAGAAATCTTAATAAAGCAGCAGCGCTGGAAAAAAGACATATCAAAAAAACTGAAAAAAGCTGATGATTCCATCAGTCCACTATGGGAAATATTATGAATACTACTTCCAAAGGTGTATAAATCATGATAGGTATTGTTTTTTGGGGTTTTCTTAGCACTGCAGCTACGAGTAGCTGCAACCTCAGCCCTGTAAAATTCCCAGGCACTCGATCAGATCAGGAGCTTGAGTTTTCGGTCTAAAGTAGACAGATGTCAGTTCGGCTGCACCCATATGGAAATCTGTTATATGGCATTATATGACATATATTAGCATATTTGGATTTCCCTTATATCTCCAACTTATATTTGTCACATACGAAGTGAAGGTTAGTATAATAGTTACATAGCTAAACATGTATATGGTAAGCTATGCACACACACACATTTTCTAAGCCACTTATCCTTCTGGGTCGGGTGGGGGGGGTGGATGGGGTTGGAGCCTATCCCAGAGGTCAACTGGGCGGAAGGCCAGAAACACCCTGGACAGGTTGCCAGTCCATCGCAGGGTGTAAGCTGTGCAATAAAAGCATAAAAACATGAAATAAATGAAAATATTGTGCTCTAATATTTAAATAATTTAATATTTAAAAGCAAACAGATATTTGTGAAGGGATATATGTATTGGACGCATATGCACGATCCATATATTATGCATATATGTCCAGTGTTTGACACTTTCGTACATGTGCATATATTTTTAAATGTGTCTGACTCTTTATGATATATATGCCTATATGGCCATAAATCAGATATGAACATAACTTAATCTTCTCAGTTATCATGTTTCCATAATAGCACCTAAAAATGTCACCAGTATAAATAGTTTGACTTTATTTATTGTTTAAATTTAACTTAACCTTATCTTTAATTGCCAGACAATTTTTCACACATCATATCACACATCACACTCACAAGTTTTTAAATTATCTTGATTATATGGTTTCTGATACTGTGTGATATCTAGTTAGTCAACAGAATAAATTGCTTATAGTTCGTTCAAATTCATTGTTTAGGAATATCATAAACCTAATTAACACCCACAATTATGAGAAAACTCTTACAATAAAGGTTCACCTGAAGTTCAATTTATTAAGTAAACTTAAGTGAAGTATATTTCCCAAGTATACTGTATGTAGTAAGTATACTAATTTCAATGTGCTAGTAATATACTTGTAAGTGTAGTAATATACTTAAAAGTGGCCCACTTTTAGTTTATAAAAGTATACTTTGAAGTTTACCACAAGTAGAATCATACATATCTATTAGCATGTCTTCAGGCTGTGGCAGGAAGCCAACACAGACACAGGGAAAACATGCAAACTCCACACAGAAAGGACCCTGGTCACCCAGCCAGGGAATCAAACCCAAGCCCTTCCTGCTGTAAAGCCACAGCGCTACCCACTGTGCCATCAAACCACCCTGTTACCTTAGACACTGTTACTGTATACTTACTTACACTTTTCTTGGATACATCTCGACCAAAAGATTAAGTACAAGTACAGGCTGAATACATGTAAACTGTTCTGTACAAGCCAAGTATACTTAAGTATAATTTAGTTTAGTAACTCTCAGATAAGTACATAAAAATATACTGAAAGCAAATAAGCACACTTAAATATACTTCTTTTTTGTAAGGGAAGGTCAGTTCAACTCTTGCTGGCCGAGCGCACTTGTGCTTGTTTGCCTTTTTATTTTCTTACAGGACGTACTGGACTGTGTGGTCACTGTTTACATCCCTGAGCAAATAAACTCTGATATTTTTGTTCCACAGAAGTTTGAAGATGCTTCTTTCCAAAATCATACGTTTTCTATGTGGCTTTGACGTGTTCAGGACAGTCCGTCCATCTGGATACACATATCTCAAGATAAAAGAATGACCCTACTGTTTTAGCACTCAGGGTAACACGTAAAGATGGGATGCCTTCTTCTTAAATTTTTTTAACAACTTTAAAATGTTAAAATGGCCTTACTGGGGCCTTTAGTGACCCAAACTGTATCGTACAATTTTAATCTTTCAGAACTTAGCATCGATTTCGGTTTGGCTTATTTCTTACATTTACAGCATTCTCTTATCTCTTATCCAGAGCGACTTACAATTTGATCATTTTACACAGGTAGGTGAAGGTAGTGTTAGGGAGTCTTGCCCAAGGACTCTTATTGGTATAGCGTAGGGTGCTTATCCCAGGGGGGGATTGAACCCCAGGCCACAGCCTAGATGACAGAAGTGTTACCCACTACACTATACCAACCCTAAAGACCCTACTCCTTGGTAACATGATATCACTAGAAGAGCTGTCATTCACCAAAGTGTTGCTAAATACAGAGGAGAACAGTCTGAAGCATCATCAGGTCCTGCTGATTCCAGTCATGAACAGGTAACAAAAACCATAAAACAGGATACTTGTGTACTGGGCTGATGGGCAAAGCCTCCAATACTTAAGGTTTACCTTATGGTGGTCGAATGTTCCCATGGGTCAGCTTTAGCAGGTCACATTTTGGGCAGCTCTGCTCTAAAGTTGTCTTTTCCACCAGCAGCTCCCACAAGATGGCAGCAGAGAGTTTCTCATGAGCTAAAGAGAGAACGAGCGTTTCAGTTAATGAAGGTGAAGTTCAGAGCATTTGACCTCGTCTTCACTGCTCCACTTTTACTTAGCCTTGCTCTGTAATAAGAAGACAGACGTTTGAAGACGCAGATTCATGGCACTAATAAAAAAGTGAAAACTATATTTTAAAAATGTAACTACATTTATACGGACCTCTGTTCAGGGAGATTAAATTAGAAGAAGTGAAAAAAAAATATTAGTAACAAAGTGAAGAAAGAGTAAAATACTGCATAAACATGCTCTGATTGAAAAACATTAATAATATGAACCTCTACATTTGATATCTCACACATTTAGAGCATTAAAATACAACAAGGAGCCGCAGTGACTTTGAAAAACGCCACAGTTGAAGTTAATATCCAGAAATATCCAGCAAACCTTCAAGTGTCCTCTGAGTTTGTGTATGTAATGCTTATAACTGTATTTTTTGCTGGGTGGGACTATTTAGCTTTACAACATCCTGCATGTATTTCTCTGTCAGGAATGGATTAAAAATCTATTTTAGGTCAAAACTCACTCATAAAACAACATCTCAGGTGTCGAAATCAACTATTTCACATAAAATCTTTCTGTGATGGAGCTTTTAGAGGCACTGAACTCTTCAGACGTCTGGTTCCCATCACCACCACTGTGAACAATTCATGTCAAATCACTCTAAATGACTCTGTTTACATGTTAAT